TAAAAATGTCAAATGCGGAAGCGAAGTCAAAATTTCGATTAACATCCCTTACACTAAAACCAAAAACGTGCTCAAAATATAAAAGATCAAACTAACTAAAAGAAAGACTCGAAAGTAAAAGCTTTGAATATGACTATGGAGTCTTTAGGCGTCCCCTTCGTGTCTTCCTGCGGGACGGGCTCGGGAACAATGTCTTCTTGATCTGAAATGATTAAATAAGGGATGAGCTACACTAGCCCAGTAAAGACATCACGATATCTCACCGTCACGGAGGTAAAGGTGGGTAGAAAATACAAAAAGACCAATGGAGCATGATTTACAACAAATTCTTTTATTAATAATAAAACCTTTACCATCCACTTACCTCGATGAATTTCATAAAACAATATACGAAAGCAATAACATTATCATCATCATGAAATCATATAAACTGTCTAACATAATACTTATCACGCCTTTTGTAATTTAATCATTACACAACATATTTTCCTCATTTACCAGCTTACTAGTATCCATGGGGATCCATAGGGGTCCCGCTACCCGTTACCCTTAACACTTGTAATCAGATTCCAGGTCCGTCCCCATACCCCGTCCGGTATGGGCGCCAAAACTATAAACCTCAATACCCCGTCCGGTATGAGGGTGAAACGGGCCGTCCCCATACCCCGTCCGGTATGGGCGCCAAAACACATAGGGTCTCCATACCCTTGTCCAGTATGAGAGACCACAATCCCGGTAGGGTTCCCTACGGACCCGGTCCGTCCACCATCTCCCAGGATATCTAGTTAGGCTGACCACATTATACAATTATCAATCCACATAATCTTTCATTCTCCTTTTCCTCAGTCAGCATCATCAATTCACATACAAACAAACAAAACAGTAATTTATGCCAAACAAGACAACATACAGCATCGGTTTCTCAGTCATTCAACTCATAATCAATAAAACAGTAAAATATGCACACGAAACTATGAAATGAAAACATCAGACCTCATACTGCATTTAAAACTGTAAAATATGCCAAATAACAGTTAACCGACAAACACACTATACTCGGGCTCCATTAGCGACTTTAAGCAATTTCACACATTCGTTGATTCAAGAATTACTATTTTATCATTATTGAACTTTAATATCGTGATAGGAAATAGGGTGAGGGGTCCTTACTCGTTTCGGAGTCCGAACACGACTTCACAGTGCGCCTACAGGCTGTCCCTAATTTTTCCTGAATTTTTTCCGGCGAACTGAAACGCACTACTGGTACCTGCACGTGTTCCAAAAAATCCCAAATTAGGCCCAGGGCCCCTTTTTGGCCAATATCGCAATTCCGGCATGGCGGCTCCGCCGTGCTCCGGCGACGGCGCCGCCGCTTGCGACGACGATTCACCTCGGGTTGGCCGTTTTCGGCCGTTTCCGGCCCAATTCGGCCACACTTGCATCGGTCCCTGCGATAAAACAACCCTAGGGCCCTCGGGGGGCCAAAAAATTACGGAAAACCGAAGCTTACCGGCGGCGGTGCTCTCGGGTGCTGCGGCTCTCCGGTGAGGTTCGTGTTTTGGTGATTCGGCTCCGATCAACTTGTAGAGAAAAGAATAGTGATCACGGTGATATAAAAATTGCATCAAATGGAGGCCGGGAAGGGCCTTATCGGAGGCAAAAACCGAGGAGGGGCGCGGCGGCGCCGCTGGGTTTCGGCCGTGTTTTTCGGCTGTTTGGCCGGGATTTTGGCTCTGATTTGGCCACAGGGGAAATCAGCGTGGAAAAACAAGTTAGGAGTATGAAATTTACCTCGATCGGCGGTCGAAAATCTCCCCGGTGCGGCGGCGGGTGGCGGCGGCCGGCGTCTCCTGCGTCTGGTTCGTCTTCTCCGGTGAGGGCAGGCGGCTAGGGTTTTTTTGGTCAGGTGTGGGGGTTCTATTTATACTCTTTGCCTTTTGATCTCAGCCGTCCATTTTGATTTAATCTGAGCTATCCGTTTTTGATTGAATCTGGGTCGTCCGTGCGATTGCATCTGGGCCGTCCGTGCGCACGCTTGACTGGGCCGTCCGATCGCGCGTATGCGGATCGCCAACGTGGCCCGTCCCCGGTCGACGTGGTCTTGCCACGTGGCATGTCCTGGTTGGCCAGGACTGCTGACTGGGTCTGCTGACATGGCTGCTGACGTGGCTTTCTTTTTTTAAAAAAAACTTAATAAAAATAATTAATAATAAAATAACAAAATTTCCCAATTTTTCGGGCGTTACAGAATGGATCCCTACTGTCCACGCGCGTGGAAATAAATTTGGACAATCCGATCGCGGGCATGTGGATTGCTAGTGTGGCCTCCCGCATGTCACCGTGTCAGCGTGCCTTACCACGCGACGCGTTCCGGTTCGTTGGGGCTGCTGATTGGGCGGTCCTACGTATCACATTTTTCTTAAATTGCGTTTTGACCCTCCTTAGTTTTCGAATTTTCTTTCAAAAACACCTCTATAACCTAAATTTTCAAATCTTTTTTTCAAAATTGTTTTCAATTTCATCTTCTACCTATTTTTTTCTTAATTTTTACATTAAATAAAAATTCATAAATTTAAAAATTATATTTTGTACATTAATTTTAAATTTTTAAAATTAATTCCGGGTATTACAATATAATTATGAGTATATTAAAGATATGTAGAAGAGTTTAGGATGATAAATATTTATAGTATGTATGTTATAGATATAGGAAATATTAAATAATAAATTTATAAAATTTATTAGTGATTTGAAATAAATATTAAAAGACGTATAAAATCTATTTAACTAGTATCACAGAGGGGTGAGTGTATGTTTAGCCTTTTGACGTGTGACTGTGGTAAACTCTACCCATGGATACGACTTTAGTTAGACACGGCGAAACGATAAGTATTGTGAAACTGTGAACTGTATACTATATACTGCAAACTATAAACTGTGAACTATTAATTGTGACGTATTCATATGTTAGAGGAGATCATTACTACTCATTGATATTGATGGAAATGAGATCATGTGATGAAACTATTTTTAGTTATGATACTGAAATAATAAATTCTGAATATTTATTAAATAAACTAATTTAGAATGTTTGATGAATGAATTCGGGTGTTGATATCACGTATTTTTTGAATTAAAGAGAAAAATATTTTAAACTCTCTCAATCGGTAGTTTTATATTTTCTATCAATTTGAATAGATGATTTTATTCTTTATTGGTACTTACATGTTTACTGAGTATATTAAGTTCATTTTATTTATTTTTTATTTTTTTCCAAATCAGGATAATCAGAATCTCGCTCTCAAATAGTGAGAGATTTGTTAGGAGTTCATTTAATTTTTATTTTAATTTAAATAATATTTAAGGTTAACTATTCCTTTTATAGTAATTATTTATTTTATAGTTTAGACATGCTTTATAGATATTAGATATTTTGAGTTAAGTATGCAATGTATATATTTTTATTATTTTAAGATTTGTTGCGCGAAGTATTTCTATAAATGATTTTATCATTTTATAAATTGCACACAGTCTAAACTCTGAATGAAAGTTCAGGTTGTTATATATGTTATTTATTGTAATTTCCCTAATTGAAAGAATTTAATTGTTAAAAATATTTTTTTCACTTAAATAAGTTATATTTCATTAAAGACAAAATTTAATTTAATCACTGTGACTCGACTAATACACTAATAATTAATTTATAAACTATGTTCTGACTCGTGTTAACCTATAAAACATTTATAAAGTAGCAAGTTGTATATAAGTGAGTTGATTGACATATGTCACAAACTTATTTATTTTGATTTTTCATCACAAATATATTATTTTTAGTTAAAAAATTAAAATAGAGAAATAAAATTGAAAGTCAACTACCTTTATTTGTAGATATCATTTTATTTTATCTTTTTAATTACTTTTGAAATGCATTGTAACAATTGACGAAATGACACGTATCAGTTTGATGATACACGCGGCCGATATTTGCGTTACTCGAAATATGCACTAGAATTTAAAGCTACGAAGCAAGCAAACACTTCTCCTCTCACTAACAAACAGTACAGAGCACCACCACAGCGTGTCAGAACAACGAAAGAATGGAGCAACATTTGAAATTGGTCCAGGAGTTGAAGGCGGTGGTGGCAATGGTGTTGGTTCAAATTTCATACGCAGTCATGAATGTTCTCTATAAGCTTGCTGCAGATGACGACATGAATCTGACTATTCTTGTCGCTTATCGTCTCTTGTTCGCCACTGCTTTTATGGTTCCACTCGCTCTCATCTTTGAAAGGTATCCTATCACTTTCATCTCATAGCTCTGGTTTAATTGTTTGATAGATTTTCTGTGAAAACCATGCAGATTTTCAGTTGTATATCAATTATACATATGTGCGGTTTATATATATATGTCGATTTTATCATTTTAACAAGATTTGAATGAAAGTATTTTTTGATACAAATTTAAATTTATTCAAGTGACGGGCTGTTTTTTTTTTTATAGGAAGAACAAGCCTAAACTCACACGGAATGTGCTTTTCCTGACATTTCTTTCGGGGTTAATTGGGTAATTAAGCTTTATCCATCATTAATTACCAATAGAATATTTTATTTTTTCAATAAAATTACAGATAATTACGTTCGTAAATTGAAATAAACAAATCTCCTAATGGAAAAAAAAAAAAGAAAAACACAACAGTAATGTAAGTTCTATTAATCGAAAAAGCAATTTAATCGAATGTTGTTGTTGTTGTTGTTGTTGTTGCAGAGCGTCCTTGGCTCAAAATCTCTTCATTCAAAGCTTGGCTTTAACATCCGCAATCTTCGCTTCAGCTATCCCTAACCTCATGCCTGGTTTTACCTTTGTCATGGCTATCTGCTTCAGGTAATTAATTGTTACTTTTTAATATTATATATATGATATCCTCTGTTCTCGTTGCCCTTTTGTCTGTAAACTCCAACGTATGAACGACTTATTTTCTGCTTAGTCATTTTCATCATACTTTTAACTCATATCACTACAATATATTACAATCGCTATTCATGTTTTACTGGTTGTTAAAACAAAATTCTCTTTATGATGTATTGGTGAGAATTATTTAACTTAATTCTCATATATGCATTTATTGCTTATTAAGTAATTAATATTTATTAGTCCATCAATAATAAGTGAGGAGTAACTATCTTATTTATATGATAAATAACTTACATGAAAAAATTTGGCACTCATCTTAGTTGCATGGTTAACTCTATATTCGATTATGGACCGTTAGTGCATTAAATAATATATAAAAGATTCGGAATGTTTGCACTTGGTAAAATTTATTTGCTTTTCTCATTTATTATTAATTAGTTGTGTACGGATCACTTATTTGTTCTTATAAATTAGAAGAGATAAAATTCGAGTATAATATTTGCACATGTTAAAATTTATTTTATTTATTATCTATCATTAATTAGTTGTCTACCAATGATATATTTATTTTTCAAAAGTACAGGAAATTGAATTCAAATATGATATTTGCATTTTTAAAACTTATACTATTACATATTAGTAAAATATATAATTAATGCATAAAATGCTATTTGATAATTTATTATAGGCAATAATCGAGTTTGTTATGTAATTTCCATAAAATGCCAAGAACATTTTGTCTTTTTTTTTTTTTTTTTTTTTGTTTATTCAAATCAATCCAATCAAACTAATAACTACAGTAAATAATATTGAAAGAAAATCAATCCATCATAAGAGGAAAAAAAAATGCTAATGAGTATTCATTAGTGTTTTTGAAGTGACTTTATAAATTCTTGAGAGAATTTTCTGGTCTAGTTTCGAAAAGACGAAGCATTTGGATTGGCGGTGAATGGTGAACCATTTATGTTGTTTATCGAGCCCACAGTTTGGAAAAGCTAACCGTTGATGTTGTTTACCGAGTCCGCAGTTTGGAAAAGCTGGAACTAGGAACAAAGGCAGGGAACGCGAAAGTGGCAGGGACAGTGTTAGGAATATGTGGGGCCATGGTTTTCACACTCTACAAAGGCGTAGAGATCAAAATATGGCCACCAGTGACTGATCTGCTGCATCATCACCATCGGGATGGAGGAGAGACGGCACCGTCTGATGGTTTGTCCGTCAAGTTCATCTTGGGATCTCTGTTAGCTCTGGGAAGTAGTCTCTGCTACGCCCTGTGGTTAATAATTCAGGTGCTTTTTTTTTTTTTTTTTGAATAGGGGTTTTGTATATTCATGTTTTGCCCTCAAAATCAGTGAAGAATTACAATGAGTTGGTATCCCTTGGGGATTGGCAGGCTAAGATTAGTAAGAGATATCCGGCCCCATACTCGAGCACGGCTCTAATGTGCATAATGGGGTCTGTACAGACAATGGTGTTCGCTCTGTGCATGGAAAGAGATTTGGCTCACTGGAAACTGGGCTGGAATATTAGACTCCTCACTGCTGCTTACACGGTGCTCTTTCTATTTCCTCATTTGCTAATATCTATGAGCATGCATATGTATAAGTAAATTTTATAAATATAATAAATTTATTTTAATTTTTTGAAATTATAAAGTAAAATATGAAAATGAATAGGAATGTTGATGGGTGGGGGTGCAGGGAATTGTAACGTCAGGAGTGATTGTGGTCCTAATGTCATGGTGTATACATCTGAAAGGTCCATTGTTTGCATCCGTTTTCACCCCACTTTCTCTTGTGATTGTGGCCATTGTTGGATCTTTGGCACTTGAAGAAAAACTCCATCTGGGAAGGTACAAATTTCATTTTGTCTTCAAATCATATACGAAATATATTTTAAGAAATGTATATGGTAATCTTCTTCTTATAACGGAATATGATGTTAGATTATAAATTCAAAGTTAAAAGAGAATTGAGAGATACACCTATATATATGTCAAACAATTCTTTTATTGCATTTTCTCGAAACAGCATATTAGGATCAGTGTTTATTGTGGCGGGATTATACGTGGTGTTGTGGGGTAAAAGTAAGGAGACGAAGAAGCCACCTGAGCAACAACCACCCACAGAAAGCCAAGAACCTGAACTCGAAGAGCTGGTTGTGGCCGGTGATAATAAGACGAAGAATGAAGAAGCTAACCAAGTTACAAGAGGTGCTCATAATAAATAGTTCGCGGCCGGCATAAATATCATGTACATAACAAGCAGAGAGGAATATTTAGTTTCTTATATATATATATATATATATATATATATATTAAAGCATCTCTTGTTGTGTTTGTGTTTGTGTAGTGAGGATAAATGTGTTGAAAGCTGAGTAGATTTCTTAATAATAATTATCTATTGGATACAATTAGAAATAAAATTTACTATCTATTATTACTAAAACACCATTCTAATACATTTCAATTAATATTTTAAAAATTAAATAATATAATTAATATTTATTTATTAAAAATAATTTATCTTTATATTAACATTTCCACAACACACAAATGACTTCCACTTTTGAACATAACAATTTTTTTTATAATTATTTTTATTAAAATAATATCATTTTTACTAAAAAAAATTTAGTAGTAATTTTAAAAAACATAGCACAAGCGGCTTGCTTACTCGGTCCCCGGCCGCCGTGTTAAAAGAAGAATGGCACTCTCGTAATTAAATGAAAGTATATGGGCAGTTATAATGCGTCTCGTTTCAGATAAGAAATGCCGAGCAGCTGTTGAGCAAAACAATTGTACAAGGAGCAGTGAAGGGAAGGGGAGATCGAGCAAAACGCCATTAATGGAGAAGAAGTTGATAGCAGTTATTGTGATTTTACTGGTGATGGGAAGCGTAGCGCCTGATGCTTTCGATTGCTACGATGCTTGTTCCACTGCTTGTGTTCAACCCAACGGTACGCATTTCTCACTCTATTCATTTCTCTTTTACTTTCTTTCTCGCGCAGAGATTTCTATTTTACTTCCAATTCTCCAGAAACGAAATTTCTGGTTAATAAATTTCACTTTTAGTTAATAAATTTTCATTTTCTTTCTTCTACCAAATCGGAAGATGGAATCCAGCGGATTTATATGAAGGAAATACAAAAATCGAAGAGAACTGTATAATATAAAAGAGAAGAAGATTCTAAATTTTAAATTTTATTTTGTTTATGACTGCAGCGAGGCTCATGCAGCGATGTGATCTTAAGTGCCAAATCAAATGCGGTCCAGGTAAATCTCATAATCTTTTTCATCGTCTTACTTCTTTTTTTATATAAAAAAAAAAATCAGAGAATAATGTAGAATTTTACTTTTCTCTTCATCTCAGCTTTTAATTGGCCAGCATTTTTCAAGACAATAATAATAATGAAGTTCTTTTTTCTTCAAGCAAGAAGAAAGAAGCAGAGGCTTCAAACAAATATACTCTACTTAAAATATAATTGTGTAATATTTCTGCAGATTCCACGGTTAAAGAACATAAGGTTTAAGGGCTGTAAAGATGGTGTGAAAGGAATTAATTGGTGGGCCGGCGTACTTGGATGTGTATTGCGTATGCGTATGGATTAGCACCATCAAATAATAACTTTTAGGTTCCACCATTTATATTAATTCCACTCAACCTAAAAAAAACTTATGAATTATTGGCCTTCTTGTTCCGTTCTACTTTTTCTTTGTCTTCTTTGTCATGAATAATTTTACAGGTAGTTTGGTTTGCTAGGTCGAACGACACCACCATTAATTATTAAATAATTATATATGGTAAAAGAATTTTGCAATTATATTATTTTATTTAATTCACAAAACTACACACAATGTTATTATTTTTATATTTCATTTTGGTAATAAATGAAATTAGAATAAAATTGCAATTAGATATAAATGTTCTATGTTATATTTAGTTAAAAGTGTATCTAATGCATATTTATAAGTAAATAATTCACAAATAAATAAATTTATCCAATACTGCATAAAAATCGGTAAGATTTTAAGAATTAAATATAAACTTTAAATTTTAATAAATATGTCCAAAAAATTAATAAAATTTTTATTGCAAATCTAGTTATTAGTCAGTTTTAATAGTAGGGTTATTATGTATAATTTGAGTTACCACCTCATAACTGCTAAACTTGTATCTTATTTCTTACATCTCTTCTCTACTCTCCTATATAAACATAATGTTTATCTTTAATAATCTTGCATGTAATTGTGTCTGTATATACATACATATATGACCATGCTCACACCATTAATACAATTAAGCTTACTCTCCAAATATTATTTATGGTATTATTGCTTTGGACGTTATTTTCAACTCTTCATCAGAATTCTTTAGTTTCTTTGGTACAATTTAAAGTACTACATAATTTATATAGTTTTATCATAATTTTACAATCTTATTTATTAATAATTGTGCTATTTAAATCATACTCAATAATCAATGTACTATATAGTTTTATATATATGACTTTTAAAAAGTACGGTGTTTCACTTTTTAACCCTTGTGTTAACTATGTACTCAGTAGCATGTAAGATGGTAAGCAAGATGGTCAATGGATGGGAGACTATTTACAAACAATAATTATTAAATTCTTAAATGTTAAGAACCGACAGCTATCATATAATAATAATAATAATATATAATTATATATTGTGATATTAATATTAACAAAAATAATCAGTTAGTAAACTATATAATTTTTTATTACCAAAATAGCCCTCATATATATTTTAGCACACATTTTATACAAATTGATTAATTAAGGTTTGTCTAAAATAATTCTATTAGTCTAAATGACACTTTTAACACACAACGTATAACTATTTGCCTCTTTTTTAATTTCAATTATAAAAAGTTAATATAATATTACTTAAAAACTTTTAAGAGTTTGAGATACATTACATGATTTATTGATTTTTTAGACATAGATGATCAAATAATCCCAACCATACATATATAGTAAATTATCAACAAGTACACACCGTTATAAAGGAGGGCGTTGAAGCATTCTGCTCTCGATGATCAAAAACCAAAAGTAGTACGTAACTTAACACCGTACACCAAAGTCACACTGTATATTTTCCCATTTGTTTCTTTGGTGACTTCCACGAAGCTTCAAGGAAAAGGGATCCAAGATTGGGAAAGTGAATCCAAAACGTGCAGTCATGCATAAAGTTCCGACCCACAACAATAACTTTCTTCACCTAACAATCAACGGCTATGATTGATAGCTGACCTGAACTATATTTTTCTTTTTTATATTAGATGGGAATTTTTTTTTTTTTTTTGTAAAAAATTCTATAATTTTAGTGTATTTGAATTGAAGGAATTAAATATACAAATACATAATTTCATTACATTAAAGTTGATAAATAAGGATAATGTTGTTTTCCTTTATTTATATTATATAAAGTTTAGTCCCAAAAAAAAAAAATCATGCTTATTAGCAAACTTCCATGAAAATTCTTTTTTTTTTTTTAAAAAAAAAACACACATTTTAGTCTTATTATCTAATAAATAATGTTGTAAATTTTTTTATAATATAATAAATTTAAAGAAATATATTTTTAAAGTTTATACGACATTTTCAATTAATTTATTATATTTATCCGAATTCATACTATTATTATTATTTAAATATCTACATATGAATCTTTTTGCTTTTAAGTTATGCATATATTATATTTTTTGTTATTATATTTCTAATATATTTAGTATATTTTGTGATAATTTTGTTATGTCAAATATTATATAACATAATTTCTAAGTCTTGAAATTACTATAAAAATTATTTGTCATGGATAATTAATGCAAAAATTTATTTAAATATTATATGTCATGAAGACACAATAATAGAATAATAAAGTATCAATAAAAAATTATGTTAACGCAATAATTTTTTTTCGTTATATCTTAATAAATAATTAAGAATATTTCATATATAATAGTAAAATACCAACTTAAACTTTAAAAAGATTTAGAGGAGTATTATATAACATAAAATTAATAGTTACTCAAAAAGCTCATACATATTTGATTTAATTAAGATTTTCGAATTTTAAAATTCTAAAGTGTAGTATTTATATAAACTCTAAGTTTGTATACAGAAAATTATTAATAAAATTATACACGAAAAATATTATCTCATTTTGTTTACTCAAATTGCTTATATAGTAGCAATGTCAAGAAAAATATTTCATAAAATATTATGAACTAATTTTATATTTTATAATAACAGAAAAAGAATTAGTTTTTTTAGATAATGAAAACTTAAAATTTACATGGATTTCATTAACTTTAAAAATTAATATTTTAAAATATTTTTAAATAAAATTAAAATTCATAAAAATAATTTACAATTATTTAAAAAATAAATATAAATCAAATTTATTAGGAAATAGATTTTTACTAATTTTATGATATTAAAAAATAAATTTAATTAAAGATAAATTTAAATTAATAAATAAAATAAATTATAATTTTTAAATTAATATTAATTCAACCATTATTAAAGAAAATCATGAAGATTACCTAATTATCATATTTTATCATATCGTTATGAGAAAATTATCTACTTTCATATATTATTTTTTTATTATATTATTATCATATATTCTTAAAGTTTATAAGATATTTACTTTTTATCACACAAATTTATTTTAAATATATAAATATTTTTAATTTATAATTTAATAGTTTAACCACAAACATCTAAATATTTTTTTTATTACTTTGCAACATTAAAACATAAACTAATAACAAAAATTCGATCAAACAAATACTTTTATTTCTTAATAAATATAGATTGGACCTATCACCAAAATAATAAATTGAAAAATACAGTTTGATTACTTCATTATTTAAAAAGAAAAAAAAAAAGAAAGAAATCCAAAAGTCAACAACTTTCATCCGTGAGATAAATGAAAGAGTGAAGATAAGTCAAACTGGCATTTGGTTGTTCCTTGGAGCCAAGGCCATTGTCATGAAGTTTAATGGTCAAAAAAATATTATATATACCATCATTATTTATATATATATACACGTAAAGATCAAATTTTTTAAAATTAAAGAACAAAATACTATTAGTATATACCAGTAGTTCCCTAGTATAATACACCTACACCTTTTTCTCCGTGCTCCGTGAAGTAAATTTAATGTTGGTTTGGTGTCCGGATTAGAGAGAGAACCGCAAAGAGACTTTCAGAATTTAAGGGGAAAAAAAAAAGAACTTCAGAGTTCTGACTTGACCCTTTTCTTTTCTCTGTTCTGCTGTAAGAAAGTTTGTTTGGATTTTGTTTTGGATTTTATCTTCGCATAATGTTTCAGGTACATACAGATCTCTTCATCTCTGTATTGGCTACCTTCAATTCATGGTTCCCTTCTTTTTTTTTTTTTGTCAGACTCTTGTTTTTTACCAGCTTTTTAAGTGTCTCATTGTCAAAATCTACAACCCAGAACCCACTTTCGTTTAGATTGAAGTAATCCTTGAAGAATTTCTGGGTTTTGCTTTTGCTGAAATGGGTTTGAACAAATTGTTGACATTCTTATCCGTACTGGTTTATCTTTGCAGATCGTTGGTGCTTTCTGAGTAAGTTGTGTTGGTTTCATCAGTTTTTAGCCATTTTGATTATCTGGAGCTTGTCGAGAGGTTAGTTTTCTACTGTAAGCTTTGTGTGGCTATATTCACATTTGGGTCATTTTTGTTTGAATAGTTTGCATCTAACTTGTGTTTTTTTTTTTGCTCTAGTTTTGCAGTTTGATATGATAATCAAATAATTTTAATGGAAAATCGTATGTTAAACTTTCAAATATATGCTGAGAAATGTCTATTTTTGGGATGGAGATGGAGATAGGAAAATTAAACGAGAAAAAGATGAAGGGCATGTCAACTTTAATGACGTTGACTTGATTAAGAGTGCTAAAATCATCAATAGTTTATAGATTTAGGTCTGGTTAGTCTGCTTAGAGTAAAATTCCTTTAGAAGCAAATGTATATGCTCTTTCACTTTCCTGTTTGTTTTTGTCTCTGAAGAATTGGTTATGCGGATATCCTCTTGGTGTCAGATTTAGGCTTGGGTTTTCTGTTATTGGAAGAAGATTTTATGCTGTAAATTCTTCTACTTATGTCCAGAAATACTTGGTTTATGGTTTAATGGTGTCATTTAAATATTTTATTAGATCA